AGGATAGATAACATTTACATTAAGCATATTTGTTCCACTGTATACTGTACAATTGCTCAAGGTAGCAAAGAATATGCTTAATGTGGTAACATTAAATTAATTGTTTTTATTTGAAGTAAAATGGTAAAAAGTAAGATTAATTTATTGTTCAAAAGTTTGGGGTCAGCAATTTTTTTTAAAATAATTTTAACTTTAAACAGCAAGGATTCACTAAAAGTGACAGTAAAGACATTTAATGTTACAAAAGATATATATTTTAAATAAATGCTGTTTTTTTTTAAACTTACTATTCATCAAAGAATCATGATTAAAAATGTATCACGGTTTCCGCCAAAATATTAAGCAACACAAATGTTTTCAACATTAATAATAATAAGAAACGTTTCTTGAGCAAATCAGCATATTAGAATGATTTCTGAAGGATCATGTGACACTGAAGACTGGAGCTCTGCCATCACAAGAATAAAATACATTTTAAAATATATTCAAATAGATAAAACAGGTTTTTTATTTTAATATTTCACAATGTTATAATTTTTTACTGTATTTTTGATCAAATAAATGCCTTGGTCAGCAAATATCAAACAATCTTATCAACCCAAAACTTCAGTGTACAGTTTTTAATTGTTATTTTTATTTGTTTTTTAATTTTTAATTTTTCACCCCTGCAGTGTTTTTAATGTAATAGAAACAGAAATGTTATAGTAATCACTACAACAGCATGACAAAAATACAAACACCTTAAAAGCACCATAAAAGTGGCTTGTATGAATAGTGCGTTATATTCTAAGTCTAGACGTGAGCTTTGAAAATCTGTGAAAAATTACTTGAATTTAGATTTTTGGAGTTTGACCATCCCCTCGTCACCATAAACTGTCATTGTATACTCCATAGTGGAAAAAAGAGCAAAAGGATTTGAAACCGCGATGAGTGAGTGAGGGTGACTAAATAATGACAATTTTTGAGTGAACTGTTCCTTTAACTGACGACTGAATCACTAACTGCTTATAGGGTGCTTGCTTTGTACAGTGTATATAATGGCAAAAGTGTATTAGGAATGACAGCTAAGAATTGAGGCAGGGGTAGTCTCAGCCTCAGACGTCACGCCCACGGACATCTGGCTGAACGTCTGATGCATATGGCACACAAAAGTGGAAACACTTCAGGAGTTTCGAAGTCGTCATCGGATTGGTTGAATTATACAGGATTTCCGGGAGACGTGTGTCTCACGTTCTTTAACGTTCCACCTGGAAACAAAGATGCCGTGACGCCAAACCCCCTCACGAAAGAAGAAAGCCGTCGTGTTTACAACTGTGACGACGAGCGCTTGTCAGGATCAACTAAACGCTGCATTTTCAAAAGTATGTGAAATATTCAAAGTTCGCGGCATAGAATCTTTAAAAAACGTCTGAGAGTTTTACACACTGGTCTGTTATTGTGGCGACATTTCCACGCCCCGAAACTTGACGCTGAACGCAACGAACTGTGATTGGTTGTTTGACATGTCGGTCAAACAACCTCATGGGCGAGCATTGGCCAATAAAAGCTGCCATGGATTCCAGACCTTCAGCCGTCAGTCTGAAGGTTTGGCTACGTGAGACTAAGGCAGGGGTAACAGCCACAGATGTGTCAGAGGAAGGTTCCTCAGGAATCTCAAATGAACGGTGGCTGTATCCCAACTGTGGAAACCACTAGAATCACAAACACCCAATCATAACCACTGTCAGTGACCATAACTAGTGGACAAGGATGGAGTCTCTATAGGGGATGCATATTTTTGAAGAACTTGAGTTGTAAATCTTGTTTTATGCCTATGTAACGTGGACAGGCTACAGTTAAGTAGTGTTCATTGTGTCTTCATTTCAGAAACACTGCAGAACAAAGGAGCCCTTCACCCTGTGCAAGCTGTATCACTAAGCTTTACATTTCAGCTGAATAGAAACGTTTGTGCCCGTTCTACGTTCGGTTTTTATCGTATGACCACATCTGTACTCGCATTCCTCATTACACAGACTTTAGCTTTGCTGGATGTGACATTTCGTGTAGCATGTCCAACCAAGCCTGTTTCTTCTTGGCTCCTCTCGTTTCAAACCTAGGGGAATCACATCTCTGGAACACACCAGAATATTTTCTGTAATTTAACATGACGTTAGCCTCAGCACCTGCTATCGTGCTCACAATCGTAAACTCGTGCCAGGGCCCCCCTTTTATTTCAGCCATAATCAGCAGTTGAGGGTACCAGGCAGGATCTACTCCAAAATGGGACCAGGAGGGACTTCCCTTTGTCTTCCCCAACCAGACATGCTTCAGACAGGCCTCTAGCGTAGGATGAACCCCTGCATCCAACAATGGCCGTGTTGGACTCCCCGCAGCTCAGAGTAGGTATAGACATGAGCTATTGTGACAGTTCTGGTGCGAGAGGCACAATGCAATTGTAGTTTGGGGGGATTTGAGATCCACCAAATTTTTAGGAAGGCCATAGAGAAAATATGGAGTTTTGAAAAATGATGGATAACAAGTGAGTTTCATCATTGGTAATTGTGATTTTGAATTAAAAAAGATACCATTTGTGCATTGAGTGGAAATCAAAAAACTGATGTTAATTTATATCAAAGTTTTGGCTTGTTTCATTTTGCTTGTTTTAGGACAAATAATGCATTAAAAATCTCATTGGTTGCAGTCAAACAAGTGATTAATCTGCCATCCGTCACATCACACTGAGAACAAAAGACAATCAAGCTCTTCTATGTCAGTATTGATGCCTGTTAGTGGTTTGGTTACTGTCTCTGTGCATTTGGATAAAATGCACAATTTGGTTTAGGATTTGAGTGCACACACGCGTACTGACACAGACACACACACACACACACACAGAGAGCTCAATTTGAAAAATGCACTGATCCTGCATTGATGGAGCTACAAGATGAGATGAACTGTCTGGGGATAAGTAGGTCAGCAGAGCTGAGATAAGCCCTCCGAGAACAGCCATGTTTCAATAATAACCCCACTGCTGACGTGTGTATATGTATGTGTGTGTGTTTATGTAGTGTGTGTCCTTACACATCTCCCAAACCTCTTGGTATCATAGTTACGGCGATTTAATGCTCAGCTCATTGGTTTGCCAAACAGCAAAACACTATTCATTACCAGCTCAGCATGTTCAGTTCTGTTATTATGCGGTTAAGCACCTCATCCATTCCATTGTCATAGAGGCTACACTGTTTACACGCTATCCAACATACAAAATCAAATAATCAAAGGAAATAAACTAGATAAGTAGGTAAACATTGGATATAAGTCGAGATAAATGGATGATGGGACCTCAAGGAAAACTTCCAATTTCCTAAACGTCTCCTCTTTAAATTTCTTACCTGGCATTTTATAGCACAGCAAGTTAACTTACCGTAAAAGATGAACTGTGGAGAGGCGAGTGCTTTTTGTGCGTTAGAATGTGTGTGTTTGTTTGAGGGGGATGCGGGGCCAGTGGTGAAATGTAGTTGGTATATAATGGATTATTGATTGTTTGGAGAGAGAGAGAGGACTGGCCCTCAGGGTTCATCCCAACTGGCCCCTCTCTTGCCAAACACTGAATAGTCTCTTTACGCCTCAGCAGACACACGCACACACACAAAATTAATTTAGGCTTGTGAGCAGACAGCCACTGTTCATACGGACTACGAGAGGGGACTAACTGAGACTTACTGTTGTCCTTCAGGCAAAGAATCACACAAACCCACACAGATGGGCTGAAATATAAGGTGGATGGGGCCAAGTTGTCACACATACCTTAAAAAAATACTGGAACATTCCCAGTTATTGCCCAGGGAAAAAAAAGATACAGCTCTCTGAACACATGTTGACCTTAGTGGGGCATGTTGTCACATTCTTTGGGGCCACAATGGGAACTTGCCACTAAACTGCCTATTATAGGAATTTTAGCTAAATTTAATTCACTTTAAAGAGTAATTGATCATTATAAAACTCAAACCATTGTTTTGGTCTGTAAATATTTTAATATAACAAACTGTATAAACTTGTAACATTTAAATTAAAAATATATATTTTAAGAGTATTAAACACATTTGTGTAACTGGACTTTTAACTTAAAACTCTAATATTACTGAGATATTACCTCTTGTTACAGTACTCAGACTCGGTCTCTAATGTGATGTAGTGTGTATTTATTTTAACAACATTAACCAATTGCACAAACTAGATTAACAGATATGCTAACACACAGGCTGCACATTATAATAAACATTCAGTCAGCATAAGCATTTTTAAAGAATGCAAAAAAGGTTTGCTATGTTTAGATTTGATAGAAAACAAAACAGAATGGCAGGAAATCCTGATTCTGGACTGGGGTGTGTATGTTTTTGTGGATTTACAACAATTAATACCCTGCTTGTTCTAATATTGAGCAGTGCATTTACTGTATCTGCATTTATGGTCTTGTTAGAATAATCAGAAAGCATGTCGGATAAGTTAGTGTGTTTATGCAATACTTAAAGATGTGCCATTTCCTCTGACTCTTAAATGAGGACATCAGCAGTCTCTCGCTCTATCTCTTTGTCCTTCTCCCACTCACTTGTAAATGGTGCAGAGCATAAAACCCAATGTACTATGTCCTCTGTATTCAGCTATGCAGTATGGATTCTGCCTTAAATGAATAGTTTTGACTGAACAAAAGACTGTCAGATGACATTATATAAAAGGACTCTGTTAGCTGGGGGTTGTCTCAAACACTGGGCCCAAGTTCTTTCCATGTAACAGTTTTGTATCTCTACCGCTTTTGTGTATAGCACTTGCTTCATAACAGCAATTTGTAACAAGACTTTTACAAAAAAAAAAAAAAATATATATATATGCATAGTGCCTTCCATTTACTAATAACGGCTTGTTTATTGCCATGGACTAATGGATTAATGAATAACTTTTATTTACTCATTTGCAAGTCTTGTTCTCAACTTTGCTTCTGTTCTTTCTCTATTTCCTCTTAGGTGACCAGAATGAAGCAAACCCTCAGCTTGTAAGATGATTCATAGGAGAAAAAACTCCAGACATATTTCCGACAAAAGCAACACTGTCAAGACAGAATTACCAACAATGACACATTTGACAAAGATAACTTTTACCCAGACCGAATGACTACAGGCGAGACAGACTTAATAGGATCTAATAATTTGGACAACAGATAGCAGTATAGTGGAATATTCAAGCCTTGAGATGGAGGTGGAACGGCCGGACGTTGTAGAGGAAGAGTCCTTCTCCAAGGGTGGCCAAGACAACCCTGATGGCAAGAAGAGCAGGGGTCACACTTGTGAACTCTGTGGAAGAAGTTTTCCTTTCCTCAGCTCCTTGTCCCAGCACATGAGAAAGCACACTGGGGAGAAACCATACAAGTGTCCTCACTGTGAGCACCGCTCAGCCCAGAAGGGTAGCTTAAAGGCCCACATTCGCAGCCACAAACTGGACGGCCTCAGCCAGAGCACCAGCGGTGAGGAGGAAGATGTGGACGAAGAAGGGGAAAAGGAAGGAGGGGTGCCAGAAGATCAAGGTGGTTGCTCCAGTCCGACCGAGAGTACCTCGGCCTGCAACAAGGTTGTGAGCGGTGAGGAGTCGACCAAACTGAGGAAGAAAGGTGGGAAGAAGGAAAGAACCTCTAGTGAGAATGGCAAACAGTCAGTGCAGTGCTCTCTGTGCAGGAAAAGATTGTCCAGTCAGGCAGAGCTTGAACAGCATATGCAGGAGCTTCACAAGTTCTTCCGATGTGAACTGTGCCCTTATGAGACTTTGCAGGAGGGCCAACTCCAGGCTCATGTTGAGAAGGTACATCCAATCGAGGAGGAATCTATCACCAAAGAAGTCTCTATAAGCGAGGAAGCTGACGGTAAAGGCGAGTTCCCATGTGAACAATGTGACCAGGTGTTCACACAGGCCTGGTTTCTGAAAGCTCACAGGAAAAAGCATCAGAACAGTCTGGATCATGGGTGCCGGATCTGTGGACGCCGCTTTCGTGAGCCCTGGTTTCTACGTAGCCACATGAAAACCCACAACACCAAGGTAAAACCAAAGAGTGACACCTACCTTCCGGCTACTGTCAATGAGGTGGTGCAGGACGAGTCCAACTTGTTGAACGAAGTGTGTGTGTATGAACTCTGTGCCAAGTGTGGAAACTTCTTCCACAACCGCAAGAGCTTGCTGTTGCACGAACAGGTCCACAGAAATATTGAGCAGCCTCCTAACAGTACCTTCTGCAGTGATAAGGACTTCACATCTGTCACCAAGACAAGCTTCTTGGAATGCCTAATCTTGAAACCAGCAGGAAATGAAGAGAACCCCGCTGAGGGAACTCTAGGAAAAAGAATCCCGGAGCTTGATCCAGTAAGTAGCTACCAGTCTTGGCAACTGGCCACCAGAGGCAAAGTGGTGGAGGTAACGGAGAAGAGCCTGGGTTGGGAAGAGAGATTAGCCGATGCAGATGTAGCATACGACAGGGAAAAGGGCGAGTATGTCTTGCTCAGACAGGACAAGCGGAAGAAGTCACTTGATTCAATGGCGAGTATCCCAACCAAGAAACGGAGAGGGGCTGGGACCCAAGGCTCCAATACAGATCACCACAGCAATGGAGAAAGGAACGGCCAGGTCTCGACAGGTGAGCGAAGCCCAGAGAATCTGAGTGACACTGAGTACCGCCCTACTTCTCGCCCTAGCCGTAAGAATTCCCAGAAAACCTCAGAGTGCTTGGAGTGCGGAAAAGGCTTCCGCACACAGCAACAGATGGTGATCCACATGCTCATCAGACATGGTGGCTTGGGTGAAACCATTGGTGGAAATGGACTGTTCCGTAAAGCAACGTCCAGCCCATCTAAAGCAGGCGAATCAGCAGGACTCTTCAGGGTTCAAAAACAAACAGGGTTCTTTAGGGACACAGGTAAGAGCATCGTCCTTATTTTGGAATTTAAAGCAAGCCCAACGTTTAAGCATAATCTCAGGAATGTATTCTTAATGTTATAAACTTCAAGCACCACATGATTGCATATCATAACCTCCGTTCGCACTACCACACTCACAAATTGTAAACAACAGACAGTATTATTCATGCATTGCTGTGAAGATGCTTAACCTCTGGCATAGTTTTTTTGCTTTCGTGTTGAACAGCTAATGTTTAAATTCACTGAAAAGAATGTAATTTTATTTGAATCTGTATGCTACTATAAATCTACTTTACTGCAGAGATTTCCATTTTTATCCCTATTCAACACCTGCCTACAGTACCATTTACAAGTGAACATACAGACCTTGATTAGTTGACTCAGGTGTGTTCGATTACAGTTCAAATTAATTTTACTCATGCTGAATTTGCTATGTGACTGTGCTCCAAAGAATGTGTAAACTTCTCAACAGGTAACTGGTACCTGATTGGAAATGATGCTACTATGATTAATTAACTAAATAAATTTTCGCAATATTTATAAATAAATTTTAGAAATGTAATTTGAGCTTTTATTTTTGTTGTTATTAATCCTACTCTTGTAGATATACCTTCCTGTGGAGTTCTAATCAAACACACTTGAACCAGCAAATCAAGTTTTCGGGTTCACTCGATCATTACTGGAAGGTGTGTTAGACTAAAGGCAGATATCCAGGAATAGGATATGAGAATGGCTGGCTTAACAGATACATTATGATATACAGTTTCTGAAGCTAAATTTACGGAGGACAGAGACACCTTGTGGACAAATGCTGCAGCATTTGACATGTTCAGTTGTATTGTAGTGTTTGTGCATAGCTTAAATCTTTATGCCATTTGTTCACTTGTTGTTTAATTAATGGAAGCATGGTCTTTGCTTCCAATTGAAAAATAACACATTTTAATCTTTTTGCACAAAATACACATCAAGTATAGAACCTTTATGATTTCCATTTGTAGTAGCAGTTTATTTTATTTTTCTGCCTTTAAGCTTAAAACAAAAATTACACTTGTTGAAAAGGACCTCAAGACATTTAATTAAGCTCTAGTTACCAGTCTACGTATTTGGGTTATTTTTTTTTTTTTTAAGTCTCAGTGTCACTTGTTTATACCTCATACATTTGTTTTCTGTCATCTGATACCGTAAAAAATCAGGTTACAGCATGTATTAGCTCTTTGAAGCATGTTTTTAATGATCAAGGTGCAAAAGCAGGCTTTGAATTGTTAAATCTTTTGCTTGTGGCTGGAGCTGTCCAGCCCTCTTTGCATGATGCTATTTCTGGACTTCCTGTCTCAGGAAGACGAGCTCTAAAGATTTGTCTTTTTTTTCCACTTTCCCCATCTAAGCGCAGACCTTCGGTTAAAACACATTGCTAAAACCACTGGAAAATACTGCGGATGGCAGGAGTTGCAACAATATGCCCCAATAGAGCACTGAATCTGTCCTGATAATTGATCATTCCTGTCATATTTAGTGGAAACTTGGGGTGTTATATTAATCGGCTATAACAGAAGACTTATAGTAGACTTGCAGATCTGATAAAATTGCCCTTCATTACCACAAAATTAAGTAAAATAAAATTGCCTTAAACAAAAGATGCCCTCTTAGGGATCGACACAGATGGAATGTTCCAGAACAGAGGTTTCATTGTGTAAGAGTTGAAACAGATGTCCACTCACTACTGATATTTTCATGTAGGTGTGAAGACTGTATAATGCTCTTCTACACTACTTATCTCCTCTAAGAGATTCATAATAAGACCAAATAAAACGTAGAATATGATAGTTCCTCTTGTAGGTTTTCTACTGAAGGACAGAAAGAATGTAAGGAAGCAGACATGGCCATTACGTTTGTGTACAGAAGACTGGAAACCCAAAGACAGGAAGCAGAGTGATGGAGAGTGGTCTGCTACCTCAAGAGGGACTTCATTTTATGCTCTCTAGCAAACACAAACTCTCAGATCAGAGGAGCTCCAAAGCCCATGCTCCTCAGACCCCCGGCAGGTCTGATTCTCAAGCTCAGGATACACCGTCCGTTGCTGGGTACGACCCCTGGAGCAGACTTGGCTTGAGTGGCCCGTCCTCTCACTCCCAGTCCAAGAGACAGTCGACGACCGATGGTCCAGAACCTGTGACAGACATCCTGAGTTTCTTGAAGAACTGCAGTCCTCATGATCTAGCTGCTCTCTACCACCACTGGGGCTTCAACAGCACCATGGCAGAGCAAGCAGGTAAGAGGGTGTATAGAATTCGTTCATTTACATTCATAACCAGTATTATGAGATGCTGATTTTTATTGTTTATTTTTTTTCCAACAAGTTTAACCCCAAAAGTATTTGGACAGAAACCTTCAAAAATGTAAGATTTTCACCAATCAATCAATAGCATTTTTTGTGAAATCTTTTGATTTGAAAAGGCGTTTGGTATGATGTTATCATCTATGCACTGATGAAACATTAGGCAAGTGAATAGGGATTTGTGTATCCAAATACTTTTTGGGATCCCCCTATGATTTATTTTGAGCCTAATTTACTTTTTCTGAAACTGATTACTAAACTGGTATAAAGAAATCATATTAATTAGATTTGCAGTTGGTTAGTGCACAGTGCACACTGGACTTCCATATTCTCCTGTACGTTTGTGATTATGACTTGAAATATTAAATAAGGTAAGATGCAGATGTGCATTTATTAAGCCAAATACCAAATTAAGCCAAATTGTGCAAATACCATTTGCATACCTCAGTCAACAACAGATATAGAAACCTTCAAATGGAACTGTGAATACACATTAATCATTTACAGAAATATTGGACGGTAAAACATAAATAAATAAATGTGAATTAGAAAATGGCCATTATTATATAAAAAAAGTGATTAGTGATAACTTTTAGTGATATCCAATACTGATATTTAGAGAACAGGATGGCCTATAATGTTTGTGTGTGTATATATATACAGTATATATATGTGCATATATATGTGTGTGTGTGTGTGTGTGTATATATATATATATATATATATATATATATACACATACATACTGTAATACAATTAAAAGATAGAAAATGAGATATACACAAACTTACTGAGATACATTTTTTCAAAATTCAAGAAAGTAAAATTTAAAGTCGATTACAATTTTTTTTGTACTGTTGCCAAAGCTTGTAGCATCAGATGTTTGCTAGGTCGAGGGATATAATAATATATATATTTTTTATTTATTGGTATCTATCAGTATTATTTATTTGTGTATGCTCATTTCCCCATTTGACAGCTTTGCTGTCATCTAACACTCACTTAAAGTTAATCTTTAATAACACTAATAATTTAATAACGCTGTTTATAAGGGATCTTTTCAAATCTCAAAATGACTTAATTTTTCAAAATGTTGTAAAGCCTAAATTCACTTGTAGCATTAAAATGAATTGATTTTAGTTTTGAAGTGTTTTATTTTTATTTGATTTGACGAATTTATCGGTTTATCGGTAGTTAGAATTTCACCAGTAACACTAACTTTACAGCGCATTTGTAGAAACAAACAGGTAAAGATTGACATGCTGGGAAATGGTTGTCAGGTCACAGTACTTGAATTATTCAGCGAAGGCACATTAACTACATTTACTCCTGAGTTGAAATGACAAATGAGAACAGTGAGGGCTAAAATGGCACGTAGCACCCCACACATACACACACCGTCGTGCCAGCATGCGCATACTCAAAGGTTAATGGAACTATTGAGTAATCTCTTCATCATCGTGTAACCTACGAAAGTGTGTAAAAACATTTCAGACAGCTATTGCTGAGAGGCATTGCGAGCTTTAAACATCAGGCTCGTAACGGCACGCCAGGCGCTCTCCGAGGGGTTACAGCGCCTCGATGCCACAAATATGCAAAACAGCACACTCAAAGAGTGAATGAACGAAAGAGCAAGAGGAGTCAAATTAAGCCACCAGCTGCTTTGAAAAATATTTTCAAATGCTTTTTTTCTATTCCACTTCATTTAAGGACATTTTGTCAGGCGGTGGTCCAGTTGACCGGCATCAGTGAGCGTAGTTCTGCGGAAAGACAGTGGAAATTTCTGTCAACTGTCTGGCCTGATATCATCAGTGCTCTCTTTAGCCCTTTGAGTCACATACAATAAAGTGACCTTTCCAATATTAAACTTTCCTTTTGTTTGTGCTGTCCGCTGCTTTTCCTGTTGCGTCGCTCCGGTATGGTAATAACTCACAGACTCATGTTTACTAAACGTAGCCTTGCTAACTACTGCCACCAACACTCTCAGTCACAGCTCGGTGCTACAACAAAGCGGGGCCTGAGGGGTCAGAGCAGGTAGGACCACCAGTGCCAGGTGACGGACAGGAGCCAAAGGGACAGCATTTCAGCTCGTGCTCTTAAGCACCCTAAGGGGAAACGAGATGCTGGGTGCTTCAGGTTCCACATCCGTTCCTGTTACTTCAGCGAGTCCTTCATCGACGCACACGTGTCTGAGCGATTCCCCCCGCGCGGACGAGGGCTGACTTAGCTAGAGCGACGGGCAGGAAAAGAGCAGCGAGAGGGAAGGAGACAAGGAGAGAGGGAGGAAGGGGAAAGCAGCACACCTGACATGTGACATGGTAGCGCAGATGGGGGCACATCACAGGGCAAGGCTTTTAATTCACAGTAATTTATGCGGTCACATGGGCCTGTGTTCATGTCAGGCTGTCGGAGATGCTCTCGTGATGCAGCGTGACAGCTCCCCATCCAAGCCCTGAAGGTAGCCTCCCATAATGACACATAAAACATACTAATGATGCTTCCTCTCTCTCTCTCTCTCTCCCTCCGTCTCGTAACCACTCTTTCTGTTCCATGTAAGTTCGCCTACATGTTTTTCCTATTAATTTTCATTTCTCTTTCTCTGTTTGTGTGTGTGAACTGAAGGGTTGGCGAGGTCAGGGTCTCAGCAGGGGGAGTATGTGTGTCCAGTGTGCAGGAAGAGCTTCAACCAGCCCAGCCATTACCGCACACATATGAGATCACACACAGGTGAGAAACACACACTAGAAACAAACATACACACCAGCGCTGGACAGCAATTAACTGAATCTACTAACTGAACTTTTTTTTTTCATTTCACATTATCACATTATCATTACAAATGTAATGAAAAATATATGAAAATTATAAAATACTATAATATAATTATTATACTGTATGTTTCATATATATTTAAATGTACATGCATGCATTTATGTGCAAGTGTGTGTATGTATAACGAGCAATCTCTCTCTGTCCTTGGACGAGACTCTTTCTTTTTTTCCGCCGCAAACATATTTGCGTGTGACTCTGACCTGTGAAAATTGTATACATTATTAATCAGATGTCACTTATGGAGCTGTAATTGTGCATGCTAATAAGCTCAGCAGTCACCAGTCCAGTATTATATGCGTCAAATGCTCGCTGAGAAAATGTGACAGTTTGCCCTTGTCTTCTTGTCAAACCACACACACACACATACACACACCTACTCAATCAGGAGTCTTCATTTCATCACAGATAAGATTATATCCATCATTAATGTTTTACAACAAACTTTCATACAACATAATAAATCTGTGTGCCATTTTATGTTTGCATTATTTAGATATGATGCATTGCAATTGTATTTTGTATCAATTTATGTTCAAAAAAAAATTTGAAGTGACCTTTGCTATGAGTATTTACTAAATTTACCTCCTGGTTACAGGGGGAAAGTGCTACTGCACGTCATTAGCATGCACCATAGCAGCTTTTTAATGATGTATAGAGGTCATGTACCATTCGCAGTAGTCCAAATGAATAGGATTTCCTCCACTCTTTTAAACAGGGCGCACTTAGCCTCTCAGATTATGACTAGGACTTGAGTTTTTATTTTTTTTAAGAGTGTGTGAAGGTTGCGCATGCTAGCCAGACTGATCCCCAGTGACAGAGGCCAAATGCTACATTTTACGGAGCTCCCTCTCTCTCTACACATGCACATAGACTTACAATCAACGTCATCAGTGATTGCTCTCTTCAGTGTGAGCTTTCAAATGAAGCGGGGCAGGGGCCCCCGGCCTCCATTAGCATGCACACTAACTCTGCGTGTCACTTTAAATTGGTAGTTTCAGTTCACTGTCTGCCGCGGCCACGCTAACTGGTGATGCTAATTCAAGGCCTTTACGGCTAATGCTCGATGTGCGGGTGGATTCTGGGTTTGCACCTTAGCGTCTTTAAAATGGATTCCTGCAATTCTTCCTTTGAAAGTGACCAAGAAAGCAGAAACATCATTAAAGTCAACCTGAAATGTATTAGCAACCAATTTTATTTCTGTAATGTGATGCAAGTCCCAGTGGAAAAAGGATATTCAATGAGATAATATAATAATTTAATAATTTTTATTAGCCCAGTTGATTGGTCTTTATTTCTTGTGGTTGTAGGGAAAAATAAGAGGGCTTGGTGCAGCAATTATTATATTTAGAATTTTTATTTTGCTTTGAATGATGTGCACCAATGGGGCATTCATAAATAGACCAGGAATGTGTGATTCAGAAGTTAATGGGGTAAATTTTGATTTCATGTTGATTTAAAAGTTAAATTTTTACTAGAATGATCTTTGTACCCTGCTGGGTAACCATAGAAGGGAACAAGTTCCAATTTTTGCAACATTATAAACTTGATTACCTCTGTTTAACCCGGCCACCTTGCTCCCACAGTGATGTTTGAGTCCAATGGACTCATGGGAACTGGAGTCCATCCTCTACAGAAGCCCCCAAACAAGTATGTTTCACTTTTCGTTCGGTTGTTTGCATTATTTGTGTGTATCTTGTGTTGTTGTTTTTCTGTCCTGTCAGTCATTTCTTCATCTTTCTTCATTCGGAGATATGCAGTTTTTACCTGAGTAACACTGAACTTGTAACAGTGCAGAAAGTTCTAGAAATAAACCAATGCTAGGGGATCAAATGGATTGCGTCCCGCCTTAACAATCGGAGATGCGCATTGCTGCAGCAGGGAGGCCAATCCTTAATGAATTACCCCCTTTGCATGTGTTGCATATTACAAATGGCAAAAGCAGGCAGAGAGTAAAGGTCAAATTAAATTTGTGCCGCACTCTCTGTGATGTTCTGACAATAACCTTTAATGTAATTTGGTGGGTTCTGTTTTGGATCAGGGTTTCACTTTCTACTCCTCTAGGGAACCACGGTGCCCCTGGATGAGCTCTTACTGTGCCGCAGACCTTATCAGGCAGCCAGCGCAACCCAGCCTCAGATAGTCCTGATTAATTGTGTCTGTCTTCATTTTTTTATGAGGCATGATTTATGATAATACCCCTCTTTCAGCCCCTCGGAATGACAATTATTTCCTAGTGGATAATTCATTCATTTTTCAAAAATAATAATACGGAGAAATTGAATGGCAGACTCATTTGTTTTGCTCAGGTGTGGGGGGATATTTTTACGCGATTGCACGAGGACAGCGTTGTACATCAGTCTAATTAAACGCTGAAACTGGGACTCTGACAATTATTCCAGTGTTGAGCCCCAAACAGACATGGGCAGAAGGAGAAACTAGGTCTGTGTGTGGTTGTCAAGTTCGCCTCTCCTCGCAAAACTTGATATGCCCAGACTTTCGACATCTACCATCGGTGTGACGTCTTATTGCTCAGGGGAAGGCAGGCAGGCAGAGATTCCTGTGTCTGTGAGTTTGTGTGTTTGTACGAACAGCTGACAGAAACAGAAAACAAAAGGCTGACATCCCCTCGGGGGGAACAGTCAACCGTCTCCATATGGCATGTCATCAGCCCATCAATCATGCCGCGGCCCCTCCCCCCCACCTTCCCAACCTGCCTCTGTTCTTTCCTCTTGAAACGGGAAGGCAGCGCTCTCAAAGCCAGCCCTCCAACATCACTGCCACGTCACCTCTCTCTCCTCTCTGGTTCCAGCCTCGGCTCCGCTCTCACCTTGGGGTCCAGGCTCTGACCTCATCTTGTTTTTTGTGTGTCCGTTTCAGGTGAGCGACCTTTCCAGTGCCGATACTGTCCTTACAGCGCCTCGCAGAAAGGTAACCTGAAGACCCATGTCCAGACCGTGCACCGTCTAGCCTTCGACAATGCGCAGTACCTGGACAGGAGACTCCGCCAAGCCCCTACCAATGAACCCACGGACCCTTCCGGATCTCCCTGAGCATGCCGACCTCCTCACGACCAGCTCAAATGAGGGCAGAAATCTTTAAAAGGTCCATCAAAACACTTTGATGCACAAATACGGCATTCGAGGAAGACAACGTAATGTACAGCATTGGATTCGTTCGTGTTTTTAGTTTAGTTGGACTTTCTGTGTTTCCTTTTTATTTTCACCCGACACAAAGCTCTAGATTAAACTGAAAGGGGGGACACATGTTTACACCTCCTTTATCCAGAGACTTACGAAAAAACTTGAGGGCTAAAGCCTTGACAACACAAGGTCAGAGCTGATGGAGTAGGACAGTGAGCTGCGTTCTCAAACCCAAGGACTTCAGCTGATCCCCTAAACTTGAAATGCTGCCTCAGAGTTCCCCGATTGACTAGTTGTTAAAAACAAAATAGCCTTAGTGCGCAAGGAGTGTAGTTTGTGCGTGCGTGTGCGATTGTGTTTTCCACATTCTACTTCTCAGGACTTGAGTGAGACGCAATTCCAAAGCCTGCATTCGTTCACACAAGTGTGTAACTGCACGCGAAGGAGACATGCAGTGAAATTCATTACTTAGTTTTGTTGATTATAAGCATATATATATATATATATATATATAGTTGAGTGTGTTTTGTCACTGGTTGGGCAACACTTGGCACTATCATCAAAATATGCCCTGAACACCTTTGTATTGTGTTAAACTTGGAATTTAAAGTATTTATGTATGCGCAGCTGTAATGTTACATAGGTTTCCACTTGCGTCGAGTGTCATATTCATAAACCATCTCTCTGAAGAGTTTAAGGTAAAGTCACATGCCATATTTTGCATTAGTGTCATCTGATTGGTCCAACAAAGTCAGAAATATTATTTGTGTCTGCACTTACTTTTTTGATGTAGCCTACACAAGTTTAATGTGTTTCTCTTTTTTTCCCATCAAACATGTTTGCCTCGGTGGATTCTGAATAATTGTATCCCAAAAAAAGAAAGAAAGAAAACTTAATTCAATGGCGCATCAGGTCTCAAAGCCATGTTAAAATGCTCACGTTTTTGATGAAGGATCTATTTTAATCTTAACATGCGGAGTTGCAAGTTGTCTGTGTAATCATTTAAATTATTGCATAATAGAGAGACTAGTAAATAGCGCAAGACTAGATTGGGGGGATTTAGTGTGTTTTATAATGTTATTTATAAAGCTTTAGAATGCCATATTTTTTAGAGGTTGAAAACTTAAAAGCGAAGAAATTCTTGGACATATATTTCTATGAATGTTGTATATGGTAATTAGGTATTTACGGAGATAGTCCTGCACAGCTGTGTACGTTTAATTGCATTCAGATATGTACAACAGTCAAAAATGAACATTTATCTAGAGCATTTATATTGCCTAAATCCTTGTGTTGGAAACTAAGCCAAGAAAACTGATCCTACATTGCGAATTTTGTTTTAGAAGAACCTCCAATGTGAATTTGTGTTGATGCTCAGCAGTCAAACTGAAACATGTTGCAGGTTCTAAGCAGCAGCAGTGACCCAGGAACTGAGAGTTATTGCAAACGTGGTCCTATCACTGCTGCCCTTGAGCAAGGCACTTAACCCTTGGTCGCTCTGTAGGGACTCCATGTTCCTGCAATTGATGTCTTGGAAGTTGCATTGGATGAAATGTGACTGCTAATTGTAATTTACTAACAGCAAATCAACTTTTAAAATAGGACACAAGAAACATGAATAGCTTTTCCTGTTAGCTTTTTAATGAATTTAAACCCCTAAGTACTAGAGCAGAAGACCTAAGAAAACTAAATAGCATGTTTTGAATTAATTTGCAGTTTGATTGTTTGTTTTCTTCTTTATGTAACACTATTAATTTTGTGGTTTGAATAGAAGTAGTAGTTGAATGTGTGGAATGTATTTTGTGTGGTTAAAAGTTCTTCCCTCCACATATATTTTGTTCAATGAAGTACACAAAACCTGTTGACTGTCATCCTCAGATCATCTCCAACTCATACATTGTCCATTGTTGAAGTCTTGAACTGCTTAAATTAAACGTTACCTTTACCTTTGGTCTAAATGGTATTAATGTTAGTACAAATGGTGCTAATATTGATCTAGACCAATGTTTCCCAAACAGGGCTACAGAATAATTGCTATGTGGTTTAATTTGTAGACAAATCTGTGATTTTTTTTTTCTTTTTCTTTTTTCTAGGACTAATTCTTCATTTGCAAAAGTGTGTCCCGTTTGAAGCATGTGGCTCCTCTGCTGGCTTTAAAGACTGATTATATAGTAAGATGCAAAATCATTCAAGTTGTGAAATAACATTTAGTTGGTGAATGGCTTACTTCCCTACTATATAGAAGCCAAAAAATACAGCATGTGAAAAGATAAGTATACAATTAGTATGTGATTTTGGATGCTGTTATCGAATCAGTTCCGTAATGATTCAATGACTCGCTCATAACACAGAACAACAGTTGGTGCCACCTACTGGTGTACCAGAAAGAGTCACTAAAAAACAAAATATTCAAATGCCTATAAAAAATCTCTATAGCGGAAAGCTTCCTGTTACTCAATAATACTTTTTGTTTATAGAGCAAAATCACACTTGCAATTGAGTAGTTGTTCTGAATACATTTCTGTTTTGACTACATAAAAAGGTTGGGGGAACATTGGTCTAGACCAGTGATCCTCAAATCTAGCTCGCGAGATCCACTTTCCTGCAGAGTTTAGCTCCAACCCTATAATCAAACAAACTTACCTGTGATTTTCTAATGATCCTGAAGACATTGATTAGCAAACTCAGGTGTGTTTGATTAGGGTAGAGCTAAACTCTGCAGGAAAGTGGATCTCGCGAGCCAGATTTGAGGATCACTGGTCTAGACAGTCTATTCATGCCCACTGTCATCCAAGATATTGCATTGCTGCATGGGGATACTGTATCCTACAGTAGGGATCCAGTGTTGCCATTTGTAAAGGTGTTAAATATCTAAAACACACACATTAGCCAAATTATAATATGCCCTAAATTGCATTTTACTCAAGCAGACATATCTCTTTATTTCCCTCTTTTTCTCTCTGACCTCTCTCTGTCATGTGTGTTCACTTACATTAGTATTGAAGTCCTTTGCATTGAAATGGCTGCTAATTGCATTGATCTCCTCTTGTGCATGCATAGCTACTGCTGCTGTTGCTCTGTGCTGTGAAAAATGGCTTGGGATTACATTGCTAAACAACTGCAGGAGTCTGTCTGATCTACTAGCCACACAATAGACCTCTGACCAGAAACAAACCTCTGTGGGGCACTGTTCAAGATCACAGTTGTACCTATGCAGGTAAAAGTAAAAGGTGAGATATGAGTTTAGGTTCTCATTAAAAAAGAATAATTATTCAAGAAACCTGAATTGCACTGAGAGAGACAGAGAGAGAGAGACACTTTTATTGCTGTTTCATAACTCAGGAAACTAATGGAGTCCTCATTATTTCATTTACATTTCCTAAAATAGGAGGGAAATAAAGGCAACAAACAATATCTTTTCCCCCAAAACCTCCTGTTTCAGCAAGAAAATGCTTCAACACTAGTTATTTAAACAGGTCTCCTTTGTGAGCTTCAGTTGTACTATCAAGAAATTAAACTGCCCCTGCAACTGGACTAAATGAATTGCTTTGACTGGTGCAGTTAAATAGGTAATTGGTCATTGGTAAAATCTGATTCATGCATTAAAACCTCAGTGCCTTTAATCAGACTAGATTTAAAAGGCAAGAGGCCAACCATCTTTGGGGCATTCAGATGGGATTGTGATCCACTTCACTGGGCACTTCTCCGAGGGTCAGAGCCGAATGGTAGAGTTGTCGCAGAAAAGCGAAGGACGCTGTCACTTTCATCAGAGGTAGAGTAGAAAAGAAGTGCATGTGTGTATTTGTGTGTGTGTGTGTGCGTGGGCCCCGATTGCCACGAGACAAAAAGGCCAGAGAAAATTACAACACTTCAAGTGTTTCCGACACCCCAACAGTGTCTGCGGCGGGAAATATGTAAATACGCTGCTAATCAAACGATCTGGAATTGCAAATGCCACAGCGAGGTCACGACCCAGAGCCTTGCTAATGGAGGGTTTAGGGCACTGGCGGAGCAGGTTGGAGTGACGGGTACCGCGGGGTTGAGAGCGGAGAGCGGACCCCTGGCGGACGACCTCTGCCTGCAGGCCCCTCACTATGCTGACAGTAATGAATGGAGAGAGCTGTTTATGCATATCAACGATTATTTACAGCCAAACAGCTGAGAGAGCGAACGCTAGTCATCAGGGACGCAGACACTCTCTGCTGTTCGCCTCGCATCGCCATTGTCAAATGCGAAAGGCTGGCGGCCAAGAAAATGAAGTCTCTCGATGAGGAGGCTTTCGGTATGGATGGAGCGATATTCTCCAAACACAAAATGTGCTGGCTAAAATGACAAAAATAAAGACATTTTAACTAAAAGACATTGAAAAGTCTGATTAACTTTTAAAATTTGATTTATACCCCTCAGTTGTAAAAACTGTAAAATAAAATAAAAACAGAATAAATAAATAAATAACTTCTTTGAGTTACCTTAAAGTCACATAAACACCACAGAACATGAATAGTGATTAGGGATGCACAGGTACATCAGTAACCAATAATTTCTTTTTTTGTCATTCTTTTTTTTTCAATTACAATTAATCAGTACTGTTTATTTAATATTTTAATTTACCCTATTTTTTACCTTTAGATTACGCTCAATCTAATCTCAATCTTTAAAAACACTAATAATGTGATGCCTAAATTCATTTGTAGCATTTAAAACAACTGTCCGTTTTTAGTGTTTTAATTTGAATTTATTCAGATGAAATAGTATATAATTTTAATATCAGCCATTTATCGTCTGTCGGCCATAAAATGAAAATAATTATTGTATTAGCCATAATTTTATTTAATTTTTTACTACTGCTGATAATGTAAAAAAAAAAGTCCTTTATTTGTATCATCTAAAGCTCACCTAAAGTAAATTTAAAAAAATAATCATTTTTAACACTTTTAAATCAACTGTCCGTTTTTAGTGTTTTAATTTGAATTTATTCAGATGAAATAGTATATAATTTTAATATCAGCCATTTATCGTCTGTCGGCCATAAAATGAAAATAATTATTGTATTAGCCATAATTTTATTTAATTTTTTACTACTGCTGATAATGTAAAAAAAAAAAGTCCTTTATTTGTATCATCTAAAGCTCACCTAAAGTAAATTTTAAAAAATAATCATTTTTAACACTTTTAAATATAATCTTTAAGTAAATTTCAAAATGACTATAAAATTCCATATAATGTAATGATGCTAAAATTCCTTTGTAGCATTCAAAAGAATTTTTGATTTTTATTTTTTATTCATTTTGCTAAAATAGTATAGCAATAGTAACCCATTCTGAACAGTCTTTACTTCTAAAGCTGAACATATGAATCACTTTGATATCCCTAACATACTTAAACTAGAGCCAGGTACATATAGGCTACCTTAAAGAAGAACAACCCCAATCTTACATATTAACTTGTCCTGTATATTTTTCCGACAGCCAGCAGCCTTTGCCTTTTAGCATCATTGTCAAAGCCTTATGGCTCCGTGTGATTCGTGACTCATATCAGCAAAGGAGAGAATTAAACCATATCTAAAGTATGCTAATCAGAAGCTATTCAGTAGGTCTGCACTCTCAAAAGTGCAAATGGTTCCCAGGACATCCAGTGACATTTAACATCGCCCTCACTAATTTGTGCTTAATAGGCAAAAAGTGATTAGCATTAACGTTAAAGACATTTCATACATCCCCCTTCCCCATTAATTTTCTTTTTCTTTTTTTAACTGATACTTAACAGTTGATGTATGTAGCTGGATTCTACAGCTTAAACTAATGCTACACTTTTGGCAGAAATCCTTCAGAAGTATAGCAAGAGTACCAGTATAGTCTGTTTTGTGACAAAAGGACAAAATAGCAAAGAGAAACAGAACATTTTAAAGAAGCTGTTTAAAGTAAATCCTGTAATACAGGGCCCGGGATATCAGTCGGGCACTCTTAACAAACCGTCCAGTGTTCGACTAAAGCGACTAGTGTGGGATTAGTCAAAAGAGCTAATTCTACAGCTCTTCCAGTTTGCCCAACAGATTCATGTGTCATTTGTTCATCCAGACCAGTTAAGATGAATGGACTAGTGAGGTTATAAACATTCTCATGGACCATTTATAACTCTCATTTCCTCTTCTGTCAACGATGGTCTCTAAGCTGGTGGCACAAAGATCTCTAACAATGTCCTAGAACTGATGTTCTCAAAGTCAGAGCGGTGTAAGGACAATGGTTCAATCACTTCGCCTTCAACACAAACAACTCTTCAACCTTCTCTACACTCATGGGAAATGGGCAGAGCCAATGATGACGGACAGTCCAATCTTCCAACCAGACACCTCTAAGAAGGACATGACTCTGGCCCACTACCTTTGGCCCAGCCAGAGCTGAAGGTGATAAATGTATATTGGCAAAGTGTCTGTGCCAATGCTATTAGCCTGAAGGTTTAAACTCTTGTGTAATTTTCTTTAGGGACTTCTTTATAGGCAGAGCCCGCAGTATTGGCAAATGTGATAGGAAGACTCGACTCTCCCAGACCAAGTGGAGTGGAATGTCTGATTAGGCCTCTTCCCATGCATTGAGCCGGTAATGAGCGAGAAGAAGAAGGAAAGCTCTCTAAACAAACAGCGACGTTAACAATAGCATAAGTAGAAGTGCTGATGTGTTTAACTAGATATTTAGGAGACAAATGATGAATGGCCTTTGGCAATTCACAGTGACCGTCTTAGAAGCAGATTGCCAACCACTAGTGGTACCAAAAGGAAGTGCAAAACACTGTTTTCAAACATGTTTCCAGAACACTGCCACCCCTGTCAATCATTGGTCAACAAACCGATAGCCCTGCCCCCACACTCACGCCATTGGTCGAGCTAGTGTTGCTATGTCAGGCGGGTAGGCTTCTTAGAGCAATGTTTTGATTTTCAGAAAACAACACCCATTAATTTTGCATTTTATACTAAAAAATTAAAATAGCCTATTTATTATTAAAACTAAGCATTATAAAACCATCCTAAATATAAATATTATATATACTTTAATATATTAACTCAGAATATGTATCCAAAGGTGTGTAAAATGTAGGCTACTTAACTTTCAGGGTCTCCTGCTTTTTCGTGTCCTCGACTTATTCCCACCCCCCTTCTCTTTTACAAGGAACAGAACCAGACTTTGTCAGTCCTTAGATAAATACCCGAAAAAAAGAAGAAGAAAAAAAAAACCCCTGAGTAATTTGAGTCTTTTGTAATACACTTGACAATCATGCTGGAATCTTT